CAGGACTGGCCTAAGGGGTAATTTTTAGCGGGGTTTTAAATAAAATTTTAAAATAACAATGGCCAATCTAATATTTCCTTTTAATTATGTTTTAATGATAGTATTTTGGTATTTTTTGTATTTGTTTTTATCAGGCTGTTAGCCGCCCTGAGTCCGCAAGGAGAAGGGCGGGGTAAAAATCCAATAAATAAATAAATAACCCAGACTTCCATCCTCCCAACTTAGCACAACGCAAAATAGTGATACTTCTTTATGCTGCCACTATTATTTCACAAATTCTTATTGGACTCAAGAGAGCTATTTCAGCAACATTAAAGTACTGTAGACAAAATAATCTGATCCTCAATTTCGATAAATCAAAAATCCTAGTTTTTGCTAAAAGAGCTATTCAATACTCTTGGAGGGTAGAAAGACAAAATCTAGAACAGGTCAATATATTCAAGTACCTTGAGGTGATTTTCCATACAAAAAGTATTTGGAAGGCACATCTGGACCTTAAGTCCTATCAAACACTTTTTTTTTTTAAACACAAGTGGAGTATGATTAGTCCCTGCAGCCTTGAAACTCTTTGAGAGTAAAACACTGATGCAAATTCTCTACAGGGCACAGGGATTTTTTTGAAGAAAGAATCTATAGAAACCATACAAACAAAATTTCTGCAATCCATTTTAGCTGCATCTAGTAGGACATCAGGCGCCCAGTTGAGAATTGAGACAGGAATGCCTCAAATCCAGGTAAGAGCCTGGAAGACGATGATAATTTACTGGTTGAAAATTCAGTTCTTCCCACAGGACTTGACCCCTTTAGTCCTGATAGACAATTTCCTCTCTCCCTCGAAACAGGCAATAGAGCATAAATTGGCCTTCTGTGGACTTTCCCCACTGTTTTTAATATCCCTAGGCTATGATCAAGCCAAGCAAGTGCTTGCCAATAGAATAAGAGACAGGGAGTTCCAGCTAGAACTTAACAGGATATCTCTCCACAGCAGAAATCGGATTAAATGGGATGTGTGGGAACCAGCAAGGTATCTGAAAGACCTGACTTTTCCTAAGAGTAGAATAGCATTGTTAGCAGACCTACCGTAATATCCCCCCCTCAGCACTTCTGCAGGGCAGGTATGATAAAATCCCAATAGCTGAGCGAATGTGCACATGTGGCAATGGGGAAGTTGAAGATATCTCACATGTTCTGTTGTGCTGCAAGTTCTAAAGCAGTGGTTCTCAACCTGTGGGTCGGGACCCCATTTGGGGTCGATCGACCATTTCACGGGGGTCGCCAAGCAAGGCTGTCTGCCATTTTTTCCCCTTTTCTGGCGGGTGCCTTACCTCCCTTGGGCTGGGCCAGCTGGTGGTCAGCCTGCTCCGTCTCTGCTGCTTGCCAGCTACGCCTCGGCCGGCGCAGGGGGCGGAACCACGCATGCGCGGCGCTCCCGGGCAGGGAAAGTCCTCGACTTACGACCGGCTGGGTAGTCCTCGACTTACGACCGGTTTAGTCCTCGACTTATGACCAGTTTAGTCCTCTACTTACGACCAGTTTAGTCCTCGACTTACGACCAGTTGGGGTTGCGGCATTAAAAAGGTTGAGAACCACTGTTCTAAAGGGACATCAGATCTACGAACATTCTCCCTCTTATTAGAGAGATTTCTAGGGACATCAGATAATTTCTACATGTACCATCTCCTTCAGGATTCAAAACCAGCCACCACTCATGCAGTAGCAAAATTTTGTGCTGCTGCAATGATAATAAGGAAAAAATACCTAAAGAATTAAAGATCTTTATTCATATTACTACTTTGCTTAGTTATTTTCCAATAAATTTTAGAGAATGTATTTATTTTAATGTTTAATTTTTGTGCTGGTCTATGACCATAATAAAGATTGATTCTGATTCTGCCAAACATCTGAATTTTGTTCATGTGACTTTGGGCATGCTGCAATGGACATAACTGTGAAAAGCGCTCACGTTTTTCAATGCAATTGTAACTTTGAACGCTCACTAAATGAACTGTTGTAAGTTAACAACTACAGTTACTATACAGCTAGAAAGATACACAGAATAGTGATGTGATGGGAAAACAATTAACAATGGAATGGCAAGTTAAATCACAATCTGCTGTTGACCAATTTATAGACAGGGATTTAAACAAAGTCTATGCATGTGTCATTATTTTCTCATATTATGTGCTACATTTTAACAAAATTTGGAAGTTTATAATGCTATCCAAAAGCAAACTGGCCATAATGGGAACTATTTCAGTTTTAGACATTATATATCTGTAGTGATCATGTGTTCTTATTGTAAAGGGCAGTCTTTTATTTCAGAAAGTCGTTCTTTAGATTATTAATTTTTTTAAAAACTCATGTTTAACTTTTAATCTACAAATAGTACCACTTAATACAATCTTTCACATGTACAAATATGGAAAATATTTTTTAAAAAATAAATGTACATGTACTATTTGGTTTTAGATATTTTCTTAGAATATACATTTTTATAAAGTTTTTCTTTGTTTTGCTCTTTAAATGTTCTTTTGTAAAGCAAAGTTATAAACATAGTGTGGGAAGAATCCAGAGAAAGAAATATTTTGGAAATATTAAAAAGGCAGAATATATTTCCCCAAAGGATTTTAAAGGCAGAAACCAACCTCCCCCAAGTCTCTCTGCCCCAAACAGAAACCAGGTCTGCAGAAATGCAGATGTGATAACCTTGTCAGAAAGATTGGAGCCAGGAAGCTGGGATTAGAAAGAAAGGTCCCTAGAATCAACAATCCCTCACACCAAAAAATCCAACAGTCATCAGCTACAGCCCCAGGGAAGCAGGATATGACCTTTGGGACACAATAGGATTAACCCACCACCATCAGAATACCAAAAAGGCACACTCAGACTCAGGTCAAAGTACATGCCACAGGAACAACTCCAAACAAAAGCTCAAGAAGGTATAAAAACCCACCATTCCCTACTACATGTGATTAGTGTCAATGCTGCTAATATTGGATGTTATTGCTTTGGCAACAGATGGAAATGCAGTCATTTTTCTCTTTCGCTTTTAGACCTAGTTGATGCTGGGAGGGGAGATGTGGATGAGAGTCCAGTTAATCATAACAATAATAACTCAGCCGTGGGAATCCAAGGTTACTGAGCCCAGAGTTGATAAAGATTTGGTGGGCTGGAGAGCTGTGGAGAAAGCCTTTGTTTCAAGCTAATTGGGAAATGTGATTTATGACTGTTAATTGGAGGAGGGAATTGTGCTTTGCTACTTTATGCCCAGGGGAGAGGAATTCAGTTTTTGGCTTCAACTATGTAGTGCCGATATTTTGCTTCTCAAATAAAAGATTCTCTAAGGTAAACAATGCCTCAAAGTTCTTTTGAAGAGTTTCGTCTGTCGGAACCATGACAGTCAGTTTTTCCAGAGCCATCTTTCTGTTTGGCTCTCCTTTTCAATAAACTACAACCTTCTTTCTAAAGAAGTCTTCATCTTGTTTATTCCCGACTTGGACTAGACCCTGATGAAAATTTTTCTTTCAACAATAGCAATTAAATATTCTTATCCTTATGAACCTCTTTTAGATTTGCCCCTTTTTCTGGTTTGTCCTTTATTTTCCCCAAGAAAATGTGGTTACTGTAGTTATGCCTCAAAATTAAGTTAAAAAGAAGTTTGCAAGGTGTAAGATACTAGGATCCATGCATTAGTCAAAATTCAGGCCTAATATGTTATATAAAATCCAGAGTGAAACTCATTAGTAAATGGAATGAAAAGCTGCTGCTAAGATGCAAACAAGGGACAACCATCCAAACCACGATTTGGACTTTGGTTTATTATTTAACTTTTAATGTCAGTAAGATTCATAAAGATAGTTTGAACTTCATGTTTTAAGACAAGAAAGCTAATATTTGTACTAAATAAAGATTTGTGATCTGGCTGCTATGTATGGAAAAGGTTGAGGAAAAATATTTTTAGTGAAAAATAAAAGGAAGAAGGGATGCAAAATTTTCTCTATAATACAGCAAAGAGAATACCATTGCCCTTTACTGGTAATATTGTCCTTTATTAAGATATGAATCACGTGTTTAACAGCAACTGTGTTAAATATCACTCTAGCAGTAGCAGAGAGTAAATACCATGAAAGGACAGTGTTCCATAAAGTGAATCATGCTGCTGAGTACATCACTTTTATTTTTAACAGTCCATGTCACATGGATCCATTTCAGTTTTTTCCCCCCTGCCTGCTCAGATTTCTTTGTGCGATGCTTTGCTCCAAGCATTCTCCGGCCATTTCAGCTCAGCTGGATAAATCCAAGAGAACTTTATGTACATGAAAAGAGATTGTACATTTAACGGTAAGGCTTTTTTTTAAACGAAAACCCTTTCAAACATAAGCTGAAAGATAAACGCTATATTGTTATGTCAAAATCACCATCAAAAAGAATAACTGGCAGTTAATTTGCAAATTGTTTTGTCCAAATATTTAGACTATTTTGAAGCTTGAAGTTGATTAAAGTTGGGACTGCAGGCTTACATACTGTACTTTCACTAGAAAATAAGGAATATATATCAAGTTAATTAATTAAAGAGAGATATTAAGCATTAACCTATTTGAGCTAACTGCTTCAGATACTTACCTCCCTAAAGCCCATCAGCACTTGCACAGTTTACATGTAGTCTTAAAGCTTACTTATCTTGGTTACTTTCTTTTCTGTCGTGTATTTATTCTACTTCCATCAACAGATGATAGCCTAAGGCATGATCTCATCTTTAGAATCTGTTTTCAGTGCCAGGGCTCTGTCCCTTAAGACATTAAATCAAAAGAAGGACAGGAGTGCTCTTATTTCTTTTCTGATCAGCTTAGAGCCAGAGTGGACAGAATGATAATGTAATGACATCACACAGTTGTTGGAACTGGAATGTCAGTGGTTGTGCATTATTTTTGAAGTGTGTTAAGCCTAACTGTGATTTATATACTATTCTTGTTTTGTGACAAATACCAGGGGGAAACTGTATCTATATTTTTCAGGAATTTGTCAACACTCGCCCAAGATGAAATTTCTGGGAGGAAGGAGGTTGGGGACATTTTAAAAAAGAGATTTTATAGTTGCATATAGCCCTCAATCTGTCTATCTTTGTATCAAATAATAACGAGGAATCTTAGTAAATGAAAAAACTTTGTATTAAGTATTAATGATGATTTATAATAAATGAAGGGGGCACAATAGGTCAGCTGTTAAAGACACTGAGCTTCTCCGCTGGAAAGCTGACTGCCTGGGTTCGAGACCCAAGCACTGCGTGACGAGGTGAGCTCCCATTACTTGCCCCAGCTCCTGCCCACCTGGCTGTTCAAAAGCATGCAAATGCGAGCAGATAGGTAGGTACCACTTTGGTGGGAAGGTAACAATGTTCCGTGTGCTGGCTCCTTTGGCTAAGAACTGGAGATGAGCACCGCCCCCTAGTGTTGGAAACCCTTTACCTTTATAATAAATGACAAAAAAAATCCTTACTAAGCAATTAGGGCAATCATTGATAGTGATTATAAGAAAGGGCCTTTGAAATTCCAGAATAGAATTATCTGACCTTTGTAGTTTTTCAGTGATGAGAATGGCTCTATTAGGAAACTTCACCTCATGGAATTGGGGCACTACCAACAGCTTCTTCTGAAATTATGACAAATCAGTAGGTGCCAAAAGGTGTTTGGAAGTCTACTGAACATGTGCATATAAGGAACCCACATACCATAATGCAAAGTGTGGAGTAGGCATTACATTAGCAGTTGTCACTGTAGAAATCAGGGGTCCAGTTTCTCTTGCAGCCCAAATCAAAGTGGCAATGGAAGCATTTCCTAGGAATTGGAGAAGAGGGGGGTATGCCTCAACTGGACATAGGAGCTCAGCAAATGCAAGCCCCTGACCATATCCTCAATGTGATTGTGAGCTGAGGCATGGTCATCATTCAAATGCCAAGACTTCCTCCAAAGAAGACTTTAAAACTTGAACAGCTATTACAAAATTAGGCTGTCTCCACAATAGGGGATGATACAAATACTAAATCAGGATAACGTGTTTTCTAAAAATGTTTAGTGGGGCATTTCCAAGTGATGCTTACTGAGTTGTGAGAAAACTCCTATAGCCCAGCATGTATAAACCCTCAAATCATAGCTGAGTAAACTTAGCTATAATAATCACAGATAAGCAGAGATTTACAGTATATCCAGCCCAAGTCAAAATACTGGCATATAGTCTCAATATATCTGAAGGCCACTAATTGTAGTAGGGAGCTTGAATGAGTTGGGAAGTTTCAAAACTGTGTGTTTTCTGGAATCCTGGATGAGGGAAAAACATGACAATAAAATAAAACATATAGATGCCTATACACTAAGGCTCAAAGTATGAGGAACAAACAGGGCGAATTTGAAGTCCTAATACATGAGAGCAGGTACAACATTGTTGCCATTACAGAAACCTGGTGGGATAATAACAACAACAACAACAACAACAACAACAACAATAATAATAATAATAATAATACAGTTGGAAGGGACCTTGGAGGTCATCGAGTCCAACCCCCTTTTCAGGCAGGAAACCCTACACCATTTCGGATAAATGGCTGTCCAGTCTCTTCTTAAAAACTTTTTAAAGACTTCCAGTGTTGGAGCATTCACCGCTTCTGGAGGCAGGTTGTTCCATTAGTTAATTGTTCTAACTGTCAGGAAGTTTCTCCTTAGTTCTAGGTTGCTTCTCTTCTTGATTAGTTTCCGT